TTCCTTTACTGAAATGAAAATAAATTGTTTGTGCACTGACAAAAACACTTGACGTTTAAACCAGCGTATATAAGTAGCATTTTTCATCCATTGACAAAACAAAGAATAACTAAATTATCGAGTGACATAAAGAGTTATATTATAGAAATAATTGCATAAATATGACCAAAATAAAGATGAATTACAAAAATATGATTAGTTACTAGAGTAGTAATGAAATCATAGTAATTCATGTTCAAGTTTTGAACTTTAGTTACCACAACACTACATTGTAGTAATGAATAGTCATATTTATGTAAATAAGTTTTATTTTAGTAATATTCTTGTAAAAACCCCATTATTATACTCAAATTTCCATACATAATGAATGTTTTGCCACATCGAATACTTTTACCACATATATATTTCATGAAGTATTGAATTTGATATGAAATGAAAAAAGTGATGAAGATGTGGTAACTTACCGATAACCTATAACAAACTTATAAAGTTGTAACCCACTTACCCACAATATATTAGCAACATTAGGTTAGCTAGGTAAATGATACAATGACCATCATATGACTATGACTTAAATTGCTAGAGAATAAGACCAAAATGACTACTGTAGCATCGAAGTGTATAATCCCTCCATCTCACTATATTTTGCCATCTTTCTATTTTGCGATTAGTCTTTATTTCTTTCTCATCTACAAATATTTCAATTACACAATTTTTATTATTCTTATTACACGCTCAAATGAAAGTGTTCAATATTGAGTGAGATGGGTGATTATGGTTTAGTGTGGTTTAGAATATATAGGAGCATTAACTATCAATTTTTGAGTTTTATTTGGTTAACGAAATAAGCACAATAGAATAGTGGAAAGTATGACCTGAGCAGTGATCATGGCATTATATCCTTACACTCCGTATTTATTTATCACTTTAGTTAATAAAGTGATGTTCAGTTTAAAAAAGAAGATATTTTGTCATTGATTATTAAAAATAAATGTTAACTAAACTAATACTCCGTAGTTTTTAAGTATTGTATCTAGTTCTTTCACGAAGTTCAAATTTTTGGACTCTATATCACGCCAATAAGTAATAATAATGATGATGTTAATAATATTCAAAACATTTCGTAACTATTTTCCACATTAAAAATGAGAAAGTAATCTAGTGTGGTAATTACAATCATGCCCACAATACACCTTTATAGGACTCCGATCCATCTGTCCCCAAAAAGGCTATTCCTATCTTTCTCATTCATGCCAAATTATTGAAAAAAAGATTATGTTTCCCTTTTATCAATAGAAATATCAAATATGGATTGATATTCTTTTTTAATCACGTAGTGTAGTACGTATAAAACAATAAATAAAAATACATAGTTTGAGTCATGTAGTAGGTGTGCCGTCTCACATTACATACGGAGTAGACGACCACTGTTTTTTCTTTTTTAGTTATTGTGAAATGTCACTTTTGATGCACTACTTTAATTTCACATCAATTGGGGGATTAAAACTGCAAAAGTGCAAAGATGGGTACCAATAGGCATTAGTAAAAAAGGATTAAAAGTTGCAAAAAGTCTAGTCTAGTATAATATTGAGAGAATTCTCTAAATAGGAGTAAAAACGTTTTAAAATTTTAAAATAGGAGTATCATGTTTTTCATTCTCTAAATAAGAATAAATTTATGCCAAGTTTGGCATTACAAGGCTTTTAACATTACATTTTTTCCAAACTTGGCAGATTATTCCTATTCACTTATTCAGGAAATAAAAAACATGATACTCCTATTTTGAAATTTCAAAACGTTTTTACTCCTATTTGGGGTAATTTCTGTACAATAATCACAATAAGAATAGTAATTGCCAAACCGAAATGTTCAAAATGTGCTTGCAATGCCCAGTCCATCATATGGATAAACGGGGAGTGAAACGATCCGAGACACAAAATTGTTTGTGAAATGGTGAAACGATCCGCGACACAAAATTGTTTAGGAAATGAGTTAAAAGACGAGGATAACTTATCTATTTGCCTTCAATTCCTTTAGACTTTAGTGGATTGATTTCTCTATTTCTCATTAAATGTTAAATAGAAAACTTATCTTTTTACTATTTTCATGTTTAGAAGAGTTTGTAATACCAATCTGGGTATCATTTGATATTCATTATTTTTTGGCTTGAAAATATGATGGAATAAAGAAAAATGACTCACTAAACTGTTTGCGCTTCTTTGTTATGAAACAGCAGTCAGTCCATGAAATTTTGGACGCGATTTTCACTATAGGTCATCCAGAAACAGTTTCTCTGTGTTTTAGTACAGGGGTAAGACTGCGTACATCCGACCTCCCTTACCCCACCGTAGGTATAGCCTTTGCGGCACTGGGTAAATGAAAATGAAAACGAAAAGATGTTTTTTCGGTCACGACCAAGTCCAAATTTAAAAAAAAAACACTTTTAGATGACCTATACATATAATTTGATTTAAAATGTAATTAATTTAATTTTTTTGCACGGGCATTACAAAATTTATACATATGACTACACCACTAGTTGCATATGGTGACATGGACATCTGCCCTTGATTGCAAATCTATTGCCACCATTTAAAATCTTGGGCATGAATCATGTAATGATATGCGATAAGATCATAAAATGTTTTTTTTTGGACTGAAATTTGTTGGTCTGGTCTGGTCTGGTCTGGTCTGGTCTGGTAAACGTCTGGTCTTTGTGTATTTTATAACTACGGGAGTCTGGTCTGGTCTGATCTGGTCTGGTCTGATATGGTCTGGTCTGGGTCTGAAAACAGTCCAAAAGAAAATATCATGTGTGTTAAGGAACTTGTGTGGGATAGGTGATCACATAAATCATATTGCCCTAGTTTATTTTTAGTTTTAACATTCATAATTTTACGTATTTGATGACATGCTCTATTTTAACTTCATTTTATTTATTATTTCTTATCTTTTTCCTTTTTTTAACTCCAGGGGGTCGGGGGCTTGGAGTAATCAGGGATGAAACTCGCTCGATTGAGTTTCAATCCCTTGTGTGCCTAGCGGGTTTCGAACTCAAGACCTCTCATTAGTCACAGTAACCTCACAACCAACTGAGCTGGAGTGTTTGGTTATTTTTCTATTTTTTTATTTATTAATTTATAAGAATTACTTTTTAAAAAAATTGATAATAAAACAAATACTCCGTATAGTAAGATCTTAGTGTTTAGGTTTACCTTGGTTTCTCTCTAGGGAGAGAAACCCTAGCTAGCAGCCGTCTCCCTTCTTTGTAAGAGTTGAAATTTTCCGCTGTCCCTAACAATATGGGGTTGGAGCGACAGATTATATTGATTTTAAGTGTTCTAACGCTTGAGATTGCAACTACGGAAGTGACGGAACTACCAATATGGGGTTAATTACCTCATTAACTTGAAGATTCTATTATATTTTTATGTTAATTTATGTACAAAAAAGATCTCTTAATGTGATCGTATTAACTAACTCATTCCTAATATTTCTTATTTGAACGATTAGTTTAACTCAGTAGCTTTACCGATTCAATAACAAATAGTTCCATTAATCATGCATGTATATATTATCAATATAAAAATATAAACTTAGTAAATAAAAGCATGCACCTAGATTTTAATGTTTTAGGTTATTTTTTATTAATCTAAATATGTAAATAATATGCAAATTGAGTTAACGCGTAAAGTTTTTTATCACTTAATATATGCATGTATGCATATGCATAGAATTAAGTTCAAATGAGAAAATGATCTTACGAGAAAAATGGGAATGAATCTGGATCATTTATTGTATTCGGTGAAATTGAGTATGTATTAAGTGAAACTAAAATGTGCATGAGGTGAAATCAAAATGTGCAACGCGAAAGGTACGAAACAATGACATTATTTAAAGTTGAATTGTGCATTATGTGGAACTAAAACTACGATGCCGTGAAATTTATGTGTCTTATATTCTGCACATTTCAATTTTACGTAATGCACATTTTTGGTTTCATCTTGTGTTCTGCATATCTCAGTTTCACCAAATGCACAACTGAGTTTCACATCATACGTACAATCCAACCAACGAGATTCATTCTCATTTCTCTCTCGGGAGTCCTTTCTCACCGGAACCCCACCTCGTATTTATATAATGTTCAAATTTCAATTTAACTGGTCCAGATTGGAACATTTCCGAGTTTTGGAGTGGACTGGAATCGGATCTGGGATCCCAAAAATCCTTGAACTTAAGACTGGATCGGTAGGTAACCTGTCTGGTTCAGTCCGGTTTCCGATCTTGAGTGAATGATGCTCAACCATATTGACAACATTCTATTCATTGTCAAGGCTGATCAAGATATAATTGTTCGTTGGAGTTTAAAATAAATTTTGATATCGTACTCGGAAAGAGGGTTCCATTATAAAAGTTCTATATGAATATGTGATATAAGATGAAGCTAAAACAATCCTTTGTGCGTGTTTCATGTTCAATCGGGGTAATATGATGTAACTCATGCTTTGGGTTTATGAGACTCATCAACCTAACTCATCATTATATTAATAAACGTATTTTAATTAGAAATTTTATAATTAAACAGATTCAGTCAATTCAGCAGGTTCTAACTTGATTCAGCAGATTAAGCCGGCTTCAAATGAAACAACTCATTCCACGAATAAAGGAGACGCATTACCCTTGTAACACATCCTCCTACCAGGTGAGTTACGCCCCGATAACACCCATTCCACAATCTTATTTGAATTAGGGTGTGATGGTGGAGAGGATATAGATTAGACTTCTTGGATCAATGATGGCCTTTTGCAGCAATCAGATGTTGTGTGGCGTGCATTAGGTTAAGAATCAATCATCTACTTTTGTCTACTCTTTCAATTCGCCCCCATTTTTCCTTTTTGACTAGCCTACCATATTGTGACCATATTTACACACTTTTTGTCCTCATCAACTTTATTTATTACTAGTGTAATTTTATTACATACCCTGGCCTCACCTTTTGTCAAAGCTAAGCCGGTCTATACATTTCATTGTCCCATATGTAAGCAAAGGTAGTAAATTTACAGTTCTTGAGGGAATGAAGGAGGGGAGTTGTAAAGGAGTTTTTCCCCAAGCTGGTGAGTCTTCTTCTTCATCATGGTCTCCATGCGCGGCCTGCAAGCTTTTGAGGAGAAGATGCAGCCCAGAATGTGTTTTTGCTCCATACTTCCCAGGAGATCAGCCCCATAAGTTTGCCAATGTGCACAAAGTGTTTGGTGCTAGCAATATCAGCAAGATGTTACAGGTAACAATAGTATGGGTTTTGATTTTCTGGATCAGATTGAAATGTTCTTGATTCTTGAAGCTTTAACAGTTATTTTGAGTAAGAGGGAAGCTGGGCTTGTTTTTTGACTTTAATGGAGTTCTTTTTTGGTAAAGCAGAACTTGTTTCATACAGATATGATTGTTTTATTTAGGTAAGTGAGAAAAAAAATCTTGAATAGGATTGATTTAATAAATTGGTTTCTCAAACAAGCCAGCTCTGTTTTTTCTTCAAAATATGGGTAATCCACTTTTTAAAAGTTGTAACTATTTGTAAATTTTACTAGGAAAATAAAATACTCCGTATTGATATATCCTTGTCAAAGTAGTAAGAGTATCAATTATTTCCCATCATGTTTCATTCATGTACCAAATTTCTACTTAATTGAAAATTATCATGAATTGGAGTTTCATGATTTCATCCCAAACCATCAATTAATGAAGTACTCCATAGTTTATACGATCTTATAAGCTACCTCCATAGTCAATACCTTACAAAAATTAGAAATAGAAAAACGCACTTTAAGGATATAAATAATGCTTCTTCTTTGAGTTATTCAAATTCTCTTTTTCTAATATCACTAGAGAGTATACTTTTTGACATTGTACAATCATTATAAATCTATTACTCCGTATAAATTCATAGGACATTCAAGAAAAAGAAAGTAAGAAGTTCTATAACCATAATTATCCAATTGGTGTAAGCATTTAGTTCAACAAAATCTATCTCTTTTATTCCTATATTTTCAACCTAGTGCTTCTTCTTTACCTTCCCCCAAAACATAACAAAAACCCTACCATAGAAGGGTACAAAACGGGGAGGACCTTGAACACCTCATAGAAGAGCAAATGCACCACTTTCGACTCGTGAAGATAGTACATGGAGTTATAGTTTATTAGTTTAAACTTTGTTAAACTAGCTCCCCTCTTATCTAATAATCCTCCATATTACCGTTAAAAAAAAAACTTCATATTATTTTGTGACTGAATTTGAATTTGCGTCTTATATTTTGGATAATATTGAACTTTGCATTCTATTTTGAAAATCATTAATGCGTGCATCTCATGATCATCCTAAAAATTGTGAATGAGTAAAACAAAGTAACATTGTAACAAGTATTAACTTATTATATTTATCACTCGAAATTTTGGTATGATATAGGACACTAGAACATCACCCTTCATTTCATTTGCCTTGATTGAAAAAATGAATTATTTTCTATATACTCCGTATAAAATAAGGAGTATATCATATGGTGATAGATTTGTTAACGATTATTTTTGCCACAACTCTTTGGGTCCGGCTACAAATCCCTAACATCAAATAAAATATCTCACCAAAAACTATAAGGCTAATACTTGTGTAATTTGACTGAATGATCTTATCTTTAGTTTACCCATTATGAATTTGTTGATTTTGTAGGAGTTGCCGGTGCACCAGAGGGAAGATGCGGTGTGCAGCATGGTATATGAAGCCAATGCCCGGGTCCGTGACCCGATTTATGGCTGCACCGGAGCCATTTCCTCTCTCCAACAACAGCTCGATACGCTCCGGGCCCAATTGGCCATGGCCCAAGCCGAAATTGTACACCTACGAGTCCGCCAAGTTGCCGTGGTGAGCTCAAGCCCACAAAACAGTGGGTCTCCCTCATCATTTGGTCTGGGCTCTTACCCCAATGGCTACTTTGAGCTGGAATCAGACGTCGTTGACCAGCCCAGCAACTTCTATTCATAGCTGCTGGTCTGGGCTCTAGATGTTTAACTTAGGTTGCCTTCCCTTTTAGGGATAACTGCAAAAATTAATAACTATGTGCAACTTTCTCTATAGTGTAATGTTGTTATATTTGTCTTATATCTAACTGTAATGTGGCGAGAATATGTAGACACCCACTTTTTTTCAAGAAGTAACGTGGTATCTTGTAAGGCATGTAATACATTAATACACTTCCCTCAATCTGACTAGATAATTTTTAGTAAAAATATCACCTAACTGCAACTGAGTGGGGATATATTTAACAATGAGATCTCCATGAACCACACGTTCTCGAACAAAATGATAATTAATTTTGATGTGCTTGCTTTGGTGATTTGGTCTTGCTGAATGGATTTCACAACCAGGTAGGAAGCGGAATGGTTTTTGTTTTAAAAATATCATCCTTAGCACTTGTACGCATAGGATGTTCATTAAGAGGGGCGGTGGGAGGTGAGGAGTGAGACTCGGTCGAGGGAGCTGATGCATCTAGGATTATGCAATCCTGCTTTACTATCCCAGCAAGGTAGCATTTATGCAACACCATCACATCGGAAAAGTCGGTATGTTTATCTACTTTCCGTGATATTATGGCATTCATGTGGAAACCTATTAAAGGTGTTACTATCACTGAAGTGGGGAATAGACGTTATATGTTTCAATTCTGTAATGAGTATGATTTATTCTAATACTAATATAATATAAGCTTTCTTCTCTAAAAAAAAAGAATTATCCACAACATATAGACATATAGTGTAGTGTTTTAATAACACTCTTTTTTAGATGCCTGCAACAATTATTTTTGTTTTTCAATCATCCAACTTACGGTGTTATCTTTTTAATCATCCAACTTACGGTGTTATACATGACTATCATTATTCTTTCTTATTTTTTTGTGTCATTTTTTGTAGAAGCACTTGAGTTTTACTTCCAAATGACTTATATGAAAATGTTTAATAAGCGGCACGTAAAATAAGGAGTGCTATAAGCTCATGTTTACTACACAGGATTTAATACACCGTTTAACATTAAAATGTTCAAAATAACTCTATACATATATAGATAGACAAACATTTATGTACACAAGTATAGAAATGATCCTGTCTAGCAGCCTCAAGTCTGAACGCCATCCAAACACCTCCGTTTGGGGGTGGTTCCCGGTGGAATTTTTGATGAATGTTTTTTACCATGTTCTTCATCAAGTCTAGTTTATCCACACAAACTTTTGGCTCCAAATTCGATCGGGAAGGCAGTCAAATCATTTTTTGAAGTTGGATGCGTTTTTATATGTATATTTTGGCGCAGTCAACTTCAAAAAATTATTTGACTTCCTTCCCGATCGAATTTTGAGCTGAAATGTTTTGTGGATAAACTAGACTTGATGAGGAACATGCTAAAAAATCAGCAAAAAATTCCACCGGGATCCGCCCCAAACGACGGAGTTCGGACGGTGTTTGGGCCGGGGGCTGCTGTACAGGATCATTTCTCTACAAGTATATATATAATACATGGGGCCCCACCCCTACACCTACTCCTCTACCACCTGTACCCCGCCATTGCCCCTACCCCTATATTCCAACCTTACATCCTATCCCTACCCACCCCCAAACCCTCACCTTACCACTACTCGATTGGGGTAGGGGCTAGGGGTACGGGCCACGAATAAGAGATCGGAGCAAGGGTATGAGTACAAGGTGGGGGTACAAATAGGGTAGGGTAGGGTATGGTAGGTGTGGGTAAGGGTATAAGTATGTAAGGGATATGGGTACAGGGGTTGGGGATAGGGTCGGTGCATGGGCAAGGGTAAGGGGCGTGGAAGGGTAGGGTAGGGGCATGGGTAAGTGTGGGTAAAGGTAAGAGTGCGGAGTAGGGGTACAGGGTAATGGGGTAGGGGAAGGGCCGGGGTAGGTAGGGATGACAATTTAACCCGACCCGAAGGTTACCCGCATTGAATCGAACCGGTCAAAATAGGGAAACCCGTGTTCACAGAGTGATGGGTACGGGGCGGGGAATACCCAATTATATATAAACGGGTAATGGGTGGGTACGGTTTTATACTTACTCGACCCTTTACCCGTCACGTAATCGACCCGTTTAGTTTGGGTATGGTTATCTGCACCATTACCGGACCCGTAATATCATCTTGTATATTTTAATAGATTATATATTTCAATATTTATTTATATATTATGCAAATACTTCATATATTAGTGTGTGTACTTGCAATAATTTTCTATGTAAAAAATTAGTTTAGTTTTTCTTTCACTTTGGTTTTGATTAGTTTGTGTAGTTGGTGTAATTTTCTATGTAAATTATTTAAGGGTATAAAAGTTACTAAGTGGTGCTCTGTTTTTCTTTGTATACATGTTTAAAACTGTAATTATTATAACTACTTTGTAATTATATTTTAACTTCATTGTTGTGATAAGATATGATTTGATTTGTGGTGTTTATTGGAAACAAAAATAGTGGTCAATAGATAATAGAGTCGTTTTTTCTTAGTGATATTATTTTAAAAAACAAAATTATCTTTAAATAATGTGGTCACCCAAGGGAAAACCATTCCATTTCAATCGGGTATAGTTCGGGTAAAAAATTACCTGGCGGGTACGAAGATTATAAATAAAATATCGGAGCAACTAAGCAAGTACGAATAATGGTATACCCAACCCCGAACCACCCCGTTGCAATCCCTAGGGGTAGGTAGGGAGTAGTGGGGTTGGAATAGGGTATGGGTGGATCGGGGTAAGGGGTAATTAAGGGTATAGGGGGGTTAGGGGTATGGGGACATGTAGGGTAGGGGTGGGGTATGATAAGGGCACTGGATCAAGGTGGGGTGGGGGTAGGGGTTCAGGGCGGTGTTGGGTTAAGGTTTGGGTAAGGTGGGGTAGGGGCCAGGTGGGTGGGTAGAGGTAGGGTTAGGGTTAGGGGTAACAAGTAAGGGGTAAGAGCAAAGGATAAAGGTAAATTGGAAAATTGAAAAAGCTTAAACTATCGTTTAATTAGTACATGAGGGTGATATGCTTAGTAAGTGGCACTTTAAACACATGTTGGGTTAGTAGACAACTTTTTAAATAGTCTGTGTGTTTACTTCATCTGTCTTACTAACCTAACTGTGATTTTAGCAGTGATGTAGACACGTCTTTAGCCTTAACACCACTAAAAATTCTAAAAAAATCTAAAAGGTTGACATGGAAAGTTTAGACTTTAGAGTGGAATTCAAGTGCAGACATTATGTTTTTTCTAAATGGAGATTGCTTGAGAATTCAGAAGGGGCTGAAAAAAATACCATAAATTTCATGAATGAAAAAAATAAGGCAAAGATTTGAAACAAAAACTATTATATTAGCAAGGACTAAAAGCATATTTAACATACTTTTTTACCTCCCAAATATCATTTTTTTATGATGCTAAAGGGGTCGATGTTGGTCCTCATAGTTGAGATCTCAAATCTTGCAAACCAATCTTTGAAATATATATATTTCATCAATCGTGACACGTCCTTGTGACGGCTCTACAACTCAGAAGAGGGCTTGGGTCAGCGTGGTCTTCCCACTCCAAGTTCTTCCAACTGCACCGAGTTTCTTTCCCTCATGAAAGGTGCAAGTTATTCCTTTTGGAACTAAAGGAGGATCAGGGATGTACTCCACTTGAAGGTTTTTAATTTGAATTCTTCCACTCCCTGGCCACTCAAACTTTGGTATGTTGTTTTCAACAATGAATGCGGTTTCATTGTGTATATTATTGAACTGTAATATTATTTCTAACTAAAACCATTTTGATCTCTACATCACAAAGGTTCCACATAAACCAAGCTTGAAGAACATTAAGATTTAAACCATATGTAGCAACAAGTCTCACCATGCCTACAAATAAACAAATTCATCCATCTAATACCCAGAGTATTATACCCTAGAACATGATAATGTATGATTATTGAAACTAGAGCAAGACCAAAGGTTCCAACACATTGCGAATTTGCAATAAATTATTTTTATCCAAACTTATTTCTATTAGTCAAAGTAGACGAGTTATAAATCTTAGAGGTATAGTAGAGATAAGCATGAGGATATTGTTCTCTTGCTTCTTTGTTATATACTTCATATTTTTTATTTGTAATTGCAGGTGTTTGAAAGTTATTGGCTCGGTGAGTTCATTTAGAAAATAGATGTAGTATCCAAAAATAAATAATTTTTTACATCATACATTTGCACTCTCTCTATTTTTATTTGTTGCTCCGTAAGCTTTAAGAAGTTTTTAATTAAGTACTTGCATCATTTCCATTTCAATAACTTTCATCTTACATTGTCTCTTCTCTTTCCTACTTTTTTCTTTTTATTTTTTTTTCTTCCGAATATTGTTACTCTTTCTCCTACCTTTTCATTTCTCTTGCACTATTCACTAGCCCCTATTGTTTCACCCTCAATGAAAAAAACCTACAGATACAACAAATAACAAATGCGGGAGTATAAGAATCAAGTCATATTGTCTACATAATCATTGAACCAATTCAATTCGTCTAAAAAACTTTTTGGAGTCAATAACTAATCTTGGAAGGTTCACCAAAATGATGAGAAGAACGAAAAAATGAAAGATTGAAAAGGAAGTTTATCCAGATGCAAAGTTTTTCCATTGTGGCAAAGTTGTAAAATGAAACACGTGGGTAGTCTTTAATGAAACTCAAGATTTTCTACCAGAAGTAAAATTCCTGAGCAAAGCAACGTATTTTCGCGACTCCATGGAGTGACTTTGAAAAGTAATGGAGAATTGAAGTTTTCTGAATGGAACTCATCCTTGCTAGTTCTCTAGCAGATGCAATATACTACGTAATAAGGATGCAGTTTTGCGATTGTTGAATCATCATAATCTTTTTCGTGTATTTATAATAATATAATAAGCGTGTTATTGGTCCTTTATACTTGTAACATAATATATGTTTACCTGATACTACATGGACTAGGGAAGTACGATAAAGAAGGTAAGAATGACCAGTCATGCAACTTGGGACATGAGTACAATAAAGTTGAGTAGTTGCATAAGAGGAAATACTGGATTTGTCAATCTATTAGGTATATATTTGTTTAGGGTGCTTTAATCTGTGGAGGCGTGATTTAAATAAATTTAAATGATCAACATTAGAAGATTCAATCCGAAATTTAATATTTTTGTTAGTTCTACGTAAATTTGTATAAATATACTACCAACATGATTGAGTATACTGCTTGATGGTGTAGAGTAAAAAAGACATGGTTGCATAGAAAACTGATTCAGTCATTGTGCTAAAAAACAGTTGAGAAGTCACAACTGCAATGGTGAAAGCGAAAATTCTCTATCCAAGATAAACATAGTGCTTCCATCCAACAACAAGACAAATATCCCAATCGGTTGCTCTTTGAAAACCTTTCTTTTTTCAGCCCTCCTTGACCGTGCTCAAAACACCTCTATGTACATGGATTGTCCATAGAGGTGTACATAGAGGTGTTTTGAGCATGGTCAGGGAGGGCTGAAAAAAGAAGGGTTTTTAAAGAGCAACTGATTGAGATATTTGTCTTGTTGTTGGATGGAAGCACTATGTTTATCTTGGATAGAGAATTTTTTCTTTCAACTATTGCAATTGAGACTTCTCGGCATTTTTTAACCGAATATCTAAATCAATTTTTCGTGCACCCATATCATTCTTTGACTCTAGACCATCAATATCAGAATATTCAACCATGTTAGTAGTATATTTATACAAAGAACTAACAAAAATATTAAAACTCGAATTAAAATTTTTCAACATTTATCGTTTAAATTTATTTAAATCAAGTCTCCACAAATCAAAGCACCTTAAACACAGATATACCTTATAGATTGGCAGGTCTGGTATTTGCTCTTATACAACTTCTCAGCATTATTTACTCATGTCCCAGGCCGCATGCCAGGTCTTTCTCATCTTCCTTATCATATTTCTTATTTTCATATAGTATCAGGTTAAAAAGTTATGATGATTCAACAATCGCAAGTCTCATTATATTGTGTCTGCTAAAAAGCTAGCGAGGATGAGTTCTATCTAGAAAGCTCTAACTCTCCATCACTTTTCATATTCACTCCATGGAGTCGTAAGAATTCGTTGTTTTGCTTAGAAATGTCACTTTTTCAAAAATTTTGAGTTTCATTGGCGACTACTCATGCGTTTCATTTTACAACTTTGCAACAATAATGGAATGACTTTACCTCCGGATCAACTTTCCTTTCAACCTTTCCTTTTTCATTCTTCTTATCGTTTTGGTTAACCTTCCAAGATAGTCATTGACCTCAGTAAATTATATCTAGATGAATTAAATTGCATTCGTTTCACTGATTATATAGACAACACAAAACATGATCCTTATACTCCCACATCATTTTGGTGAATCTTCCCAGATCAGTCATTGACCCCAGTAAATATGTTGCTTGGAGGTTTTTTCACCGACTTTAACTTTAAGGGGGAACATAGGGCCTAGTGAATAGTATAAAACAAATGAAAAAGTAGAAGAAACGGTAGAAATATAGAAAAATAAAATAAAGAGCGGACAAGTATGAAAGAGAAGTGCAAGGTAAGATGAAAGTTACCAAAACGAAAATGGAGCAAATATTCCATTAAAAACTTCCCTAAAAAATATGGAGCAACAAATAAAAAATAAAAGGAATATATGTGTAAACCCCTCTTTTGACACACAGAGCGTACTGATGTGTATAAGAATGCGTACAAAAGAATTTTTTCATAATTATATGCATTATGATATCTCAAAACGAGTAGTGTAAAATGATTCAAAATGTGAATGGAAATTATAATTTTTATTGACTTGTAACAACAACACGGGGTGATGACATTTTGCAATGAAGCTAAGTGAATTTTTTTATTTAGTTTTTATAATTACGAAATTGCTAAAAAAGTAAAAAAAATCACAATGCTTGGTAATTTAAAAATTAATGATTATAGAAAATAAGGCTCGGGCTAAGAGTAATATTATTTTTTATATGCATTATAATAATGATTTAACTAATTAACTTGGTTGTTTTTAGGTGTGTGAAAGATAATAAATGGTAATCTTCTATTCATTTACACGATTTAATTAATTACAATGTCTTAAATTATTTCTACTTCCACCGTAATTTTATTAAGACAATGAAAAGTAAAAAAATTAAATTATCCTAAATTTCTTAACACTTCCATGTAGCAATTTAGTGGGTGAATTTTTAATGAAAGTTTTTAAAGGGACTTTTTAATGAAAGTTTCACTCATGTCATAATATCATTTCTCAAGATGATGTATTTAACAGATCAGAATATTCAACCCAACACTCCTAAAATTAACCAATTACTATCGTATGAACATGAAAATAAAATCACAACTTGCCTAAGCCTACACTAAATTAGCTACACATAATTACCGTAATAAAAAGAAAGTATAATTCGTGGCAGACATATCTAATTTAACAAATGAAGACTAAAATTAAACGAAGTAAAATATGTATTTAAAAACCTCGAAACATATGATGAAGAGCATGGATGTGCTGGAATGGCGATGGACTGATTTTTTATTTATCATGTGGCTATAAATATAAACAAAGCTAAAGAAAGAGTAAGGATGGATTCTATTTGAACCTGGTGTCTTTGGCAGCTTCAGAATGGGTCTTTATATAGGCAATTCAATAACATTGTACAGCATGACTATTACCTCTTCCGCTCTTCGTTCTATTGGACTTTACCAACTTTTCTTTTTTGTTTGCCTCAAAAGACTTTGTCACTTTCCTTTTAAAGTAATGAATTTGTGATGTTCTTAACTTCTATTTTATATCTACAAATTTCAATCACATAGTTTTTATTTTTTTATTCCATATTCAAATCAAAGTAAGCAAAGATTATAGTCTAACGAAACGGAAGGATTATTCAATGACAATGTTGATGAGAATAATAATTTGGCAAATTGATTATCCTAATCCCATGCGGCTCTGGACCTCTGGTTATAAAAAAACATCCCATGCGGCACTAAAACAAGTAAACAACAATCCTAATGTATAGTATTCACCTTGTATTTCATTTCTGGCAAGAGATTTCCGTTGCTGCTGTACTTCACATGGTGTTAAGATGATGACAATGATGTGGCTTCAAGATGGTAAATAATTATTGACATGGGTGAGGCTATTAGGCTGCCTGCAACCCATAGGTGAACAACCCAAATTTAACCTATTCACCCAAATAATTACTCCAACCCATGTATTTTGGGGTGCCAAGTAGGTGGATGGCACCCCTGACCGGCGGAATTGGTAGGAATATTGACGGAGAATAGAAACTAATGGTTACAACGCAGGCCCACATGTCAGCCACCATAAGCACTCTGCATCACTCCACGCATCAACTAATGGGGCTCCACATGTCAGCCACCATAATTTATTTCAGATTAAGCTTAGGTGTCCATATTTTAATACTTATGAAACAATTATTTTTTTACATCTAAATGTTAGATTTTTTAAATCATAATTGTTGGTGTGTAAGAAAATGTCACTTAATTAATGTGTAATAATAAAAGTTAGGATTTATAAACTTATTTAAAAAAAATAGTGTTGGGTGAATATATTGACGGTATTGGGTTGCAGAGAAAAATGATTTGACTGAGTGAATACGTATAAACAGATGGGGAATTTGATTTATTGACGGGAGAGGGTTGCGGTTAGCCTTAGTTGGACAATTGGCTACTCATAGCCTTGTACGCATGGATGGGTCCTTCTCATTGCATTATTTTCTTTGCATTATTTTCTCTTCTTTGTCTTGGACCCTTGAGAACTCTATATTCACTATTGAGTGAATATCTCTTCTCGTCAGGCTAACTTTTGACTGAATTGGCCCGATAGTGATAGATCTTTTTCCCGTGCGCATCAGAGGTTCAGCCTATCACGTAGGAACTCTAACCTCTACATAGCCGCTGCAGGTTTTGATCCTTGGTTATTCTTCCACTTTTCCACCACTCAACCAACTGAGCTACATGTTTTCGTCATTTACTTATTTTGACCACTTGGCTATTTGATCAGTTAACCGTTACTTCCTCTATCCCATAAAATTATTCTTGACTTAGATTGAAACTTAAGAGACTGAGAATATATGACAATGTATGATTGTGGTTAAGTAAGAAAGAAGTAAATAAATGTTAGCCACACAATACTATCAAAAAAAAGAAAATTATGAGAATTTATGGGACATCCCAAAAAGGTAAGTTGATTTTTTTTATGGGAAGTAGGGAAGTACATTTCAATGGGAACCATCTGGTTTTTCTGAAATGTAATTCAAGCCTCGTAAGAAATACTTTAGAATTTAAGAGCTGTTTGGTAGTACTGAAATTGGCTGAATCAGCTGATTCTGATAAAATTTACTCCGTATGAAGTTCTAGCTGAAGTGACTGTATTGGCTGATTCTGCTGATTTATGAAAAAAATTTAAAATATATTTTATTGATAAAATCAATATAAAAAATATATGAAAAATATCCAAAATGATCAATCATCTACCTCAACTTTAGCCTGTAAAGCTAGAAAAGTAACTTCAACCTTACTTTTTTTCTTAATATTACACAATTCAGCGTGCGGAATCAAAAGTTTCGTGTTTGGTTGAAAAGATGACAGATAAGCCTGATAAGTCGAAAAACAGAGTCACCAAACGGGCTCTGAGTAAGTAATGATCCGCTTCACTTTGATTGTTTTTTCGTCAGCACTCGATATTACGTAGTACATTTTTTTAAATTCTAAATTATGTGCTGAATTATCTTAAAATTTAAAATTATCCCAAAACGAGCGCAATACCTTAAAATGTTCAAGATGGTAAAAATTAATTCTTTTCTTTTAAAATGACAAAAAAGTATTAAAAATGTGACAAAACAAGATGACAAATATAGTAAATTAGGAGCACATCACGTTATACCGCGTATATAAATACATACGTAGTATAAAGTTTCTTAGAGGGCTGTTCGAGTCAGGAGGCCTGACCGGACAGCCCCGTGCGGCCTTCCCCGTTTGAGGGCCTTCCCGGTGGAATTTTTTGATGAATTTTTTTGAGCATGTTCGTCATCAAGTCTAGTTTATCCATACCAAATTTCAGCTCAAAATTCGATCGGGAAGACAGTCAAATAAATTCTTGAAACATACTGGGCATTCTGCGCATATATAAAGTGCAGTATGTTTCAAGAATTTATTTGACTGCCTTCCTGGTCGAATTTTGAATTGAAATTTGGTATGGATAAACTAGACTTGATGAGGAACATGCTCAAAAAATTTCATCAAAAAAATCCACCAGGAAGGCCCTCAAACGGGGAAGGCCGCACGGGGCTGTCCGGTCAGGCCTCCTGACTCGAACAGCCCTCAAGTTTCTTAATCTAAAGTTTTATTTTTGTAAGTGTTTAGTTATTATTAAACAGATTTAAGCATTATCACCAGGATTTGATTTGAGTAACAGCTTTGAATTCGACTTAAATTGTTTTTATCCCACATTCTTTTTACATTTTTAACTTGCCACATCAATATTTAAGAACGGACTCGGGCCGGGCGGCCCGACCCGGAACCGGCCCAAACCGGCACTGTTTCGGCCCGGCCCGGTGGCCCGGTCAGTGACCAATTCGGGTAGGCCCGACCCGCTGGGGTTCCAGTCCGGGCTCGGGCCCCTCAAAACGTGAACCGGCCCGGTCGGTTCAGGCCCGGTCCGGGCCATTTTATTTATTTTTTTCCTGTTTTTTTTTTCTTTTTTTTTAAGTTTTTGGGTTGGGCTGGGTATTTTGGGTCATTTGAGATGGTTTGGGGGTGGGGGGGTGGTTAGGGGTTAATTAGGAAAAGGCAAAAAAAAAATGAACCGAGGCCTGGCCCGGACCCGGGGGTTACCCGGGCCGGTTCCGGGCCTCCCCTTTCTTGAACCGAGGCCCGGCCGGGCCCGAACCGGCCCGGGTCCATGCGTATGCCGGTCAACAAGATCTTGTTGAGTTATTGAGTGTTATGGTGGGAGTTGTAAATTTCAACCATTTGTTATTAGGGTGGTCTTCGGTGCATTTATATTTTACTATGTCCGTCTAGTGATGGACCAGGCCCGGTCGTACCTGCCCAGTGCCCGGTCCGGACTGTCACTGTGCGGTACCGGCCCAACCCGACTGGCCGGAACTGGGGTTTTGATGGACCAGTCCGGGCCCAAAATGTTTTTTATTTTTATTTTTTTCGGGTGGGTTGGGTGCTGGGTGGTAAGCGCAATTAATATCCTACCGGTATTTTTGTAAATATACCAACTTCAAGTCTCTGAGTCAGCATGTTCTTTCCCGCAAATCATCTTTCGTCTTCTGCAGTCTTCCGCTTTTCGTCTTCGGCTGCCTTCATCTTTTCCTTCTTTTCTTCCGCCGCCTTCCTCTTCCTTTCTTTCTTCCACCGTCATCAATTCTGATTGTTACTTTTACTTTTTGTTTTGTTTTCTTTACTTTTTTTGGTGGTTCTGATTGTTACGTTTTTTGTCTTTTTGTTTTTTAGTTTCTTTACTTTTTTTAGTGGTTGATTTCACTCTTTTTCTTTTACTTTCTTTACTTATTTTCTTTGGTTTTATTTTTTACTTCTTTTCCTTTCTTTATTTGTTTTACCTCTTTCTCTTTTTCATGAGTATACTCCCTCCGTCCCATTTTACCTGTCCTACTTTCCTTTTTAGTCCGTCCCAAAACTCTGTCTACTTTCCTTTTATGAACACCAATTATAATATGTTTTCCCCCATTTGCCCTTTGAGCTTTCCGAGATTATAAGTGTACTTCGTACTACCCACTGTTCATATCAATCAACTTCACCTTTTATATTGTCTTTATTTTATGCTCTAGCTACATTTTACTTAAACCAAACCCCACATCAATTAAACATCACAAAAATTTTCTTCTTTCATTTTTCAATAAAAATGCTTCGCATGAACTAACTGCTCTCTTTTCAATAAAAATGCTCCGCATGAACTATATAGGGTTGTTTGATGGTGGGACATATCTCATATGCAAATATAGTTTGAGGATTTATATGGACTCACAATTCACAATACATGCCACTGGATAGCCAGTGAAGTTCCAAATCACACCAGTGATATCCATGCTTAAACCTGGCTTAATGAAATACTCCATAATTAACCCGCAGATCAAAAAAATGAACCTGGCTTAATCATTTTAATTTGAACCTGGTAATTAAAAAATGCTTTTTACAACATAGATCAAATCACTATATAGATTCACAGTATACATAGATCAAAAAATGTTTTTTACAACAATTAACCCAAACACATTAAGGTTAATCTTGTCACAATAAAGCCATTTATACACAATACCTAGTTCATACAAGTCGTTAACACAAAAATACAAAAAACAACGTACTTGATTCTTACATTCCTTTGAATATATGAGTACTCTGTACTCCATACAAAACAATTCCAACAAAAATAATCAAAATGTACAACACAAAACAGACCTTTTATGGAGTACTACAAAGCATATGACAAACACGTACACCTTGAAGTGCTATTGCAACCTCGAAATTGCTCCATTCAGAACATCCAAATCACATGAAATAGTTGTAGGCAATATCCCCTCTCGCTCTAATCTTTGCTTGTTAATGTGTGGCACCTTATAGTTATTCCCTCCAAGCTTTTTCATGACTTCAATCATGCAAAGTTGAAGTGTCAAAAAGACATTGCCAAGACTTTCTATTGAGATCTCATTGAAAGCCTTCTGAGTAGCAAAAATCAGCTCATCCACATTACGTGAAGCCTCTTGATATTGTAAGGATTGAAGTGCTCTAAAAAAACCAAGATCTAAAACATTCATGTCCGGGCTGTTTGAGGGTTGGAATGTTAAGCGAATATCGAAGTCATCTTTCTGTGCAGCCTCAACAAACTCAGTATCATTTATAGCAATGTGAGGCGGTGCGTTATCTTGTTGGATATATATTGTCTTTGAACTACTTCGAGGCCATTTTGCTCGAATAGCCGGTAACACATGATCAATCAACCATTTTCTTGTAACTTCTTTAGTTACAGATTCGATTGACTTAGTTTCTATAGTTCCGACTTCCCGGTTTTTGCTCCTACGCTTCGCTGCTTCTTTATAAATAAAGGGGAAAATTCCAATTTTTCCGTCAAACATTTCATTTCTTGTTGAATCGAATCGAGGTCGGGCAACAGCACACAGAAACATAACTTTTGTAATAAATCTTTTACTTTTACAAGTACGATATGGCTCAACTTCATCGGGCAGCAAGTAATATTTTTGAGATGTTCTTGAAAGGTAAAACCATTTTTCGTCTATGTGAACACGATCATACATATCTATAAAAGATGGATTATTAGGAGATGAGTTTAAATCAAGCATAGATATGCAGAACTTCAGTCTTACCTTTTGGTTTTCCTCCGTTAAAAAGGGCTTTATAGCATTTGAGTGAGATTTGAGGGAGCCCTCTTTAACTCTTCTGTGAAGACTTGTTTTTGACATTTGTAGTGCTGCAGCAGTGGAGCGAATTGTTGTTCGCCGATTTAATGGAATTCGTGCAACATCCTCGGGATTGAACTGGATTCTTTTCCGGCCAACATTACCTAACAAATTCAATGAGACATCAGCAGCCTCACCATTTCCTATACCTGTGATCCCTTTTTTCCATATTCTGCTAAGAGTCCTTTTCGATACAGAATGAAAAGTAGCCAGATCTTTAATTGATCCATGTTTTACTTTTCCATTCACACTCTGTTTTAGCAAAGCTTCAAACATAATTTTTCTTTTATCCTTTGAAATTCTTTTGCTTGAATTAGAATCTTGGTATTCCTCAGAGCCTTCCAATTCTACAATCTCCATTATCAAGAAAAGCAGAAGGATTTAGAAAGGATTTAGAAGTCTACAAAATAACCAGAGAGGTGGAATTTCCTAATCTTGAAAGAGAGGTGGTCACTGAATGCTCCGTTTTTATTTTATTAAAAAATCAGAATAACTTTTGGCGGAAGAAGTTGGCGCGCAAAATTTTGAAGATTATTTTCATCCGTATATACTCCTATATACATTTTCAAACAGCTCTGTAATGAGTATAAACAGTAAAATACAGACTACAATACAATACCTAAAAAATTAACGAAAAAACCTGCAAATGAACTGCGAACTTAGGTGTATGCAAATCGATCTCCCCAATTGCTAATCCACTAAAATTGAATTGTCTTGGAATGAAATACATGGCTGCACCCATAAGAATAGAATCACAGAGTATTTTTTTGAGAGAAAAATGGAAGAATTTGTGGTGGTAGTTGAATAAGGTGTAAAAATGAAAGGTAAGGGATGGTTCGTATATACAGATGAAGGTGAGATTAAAAGGCTGGTGAGATAAATTAAAACAACTTGTAGTGGGTGTGTCAGGGGAAAAAGAAACGGTGATAAACAAAATTGGGTCCACATTTATGCATTTGTCTGAAACAAGATGAGGGCAATATGGGGTAAAGTCGGTCATCAATTTTTTTCCTAAAAACGCGTGCCGAAACGAAAGAAGACATCCAAATCGGGACAGAGGGAGTATTATACCGAGCACATTAAAAATGAGTTTTACCTTAAATTGAAATGTGTAAAACACTTTAAAAAAATGAACATACACAAATGAATTTTTGAATTTTTGAATACTCATTTTGTAAATTATGTATGCTCATTTAATATCTCTGTTATGCTCATTTTAAAAATGTTTTAGCAATGCACATTTCAAAAATCTCATATTACATTAGATTTATATAAGAGTTGATCATAAACACGAGGCCACAAATCATGATACTCAATCGCAGATTCTAATACTCAATCACGGGGATGTGATGCTCAACGAATAAAACTTACAATTTTCATATAAATGCTCATCTTGTAAGTTACACATGCTCATTTGTATAGGTCTGATGCTCATTATTAATTTATGAATGCTCATATAATAGAAATCATGATTTTCATCAATCTCAATAGAGGAGTTTTGAAGTTGAATGAAAATGTTGTGATTTTCAACCAACAAAGCAACTAACAAATTCATTAATACTCATGTTGTAAGTTACATATGCTCATCTGATACTGATCTTATGCTCATTTTCTAAATGTCATATCAATGCATTTTTATACGTATTATTTTATGATAGACTCCTAATACTCAACATAATAGGTTTGATGTTCATTAAAAGTTTATTATTACTCATTCACAAGAAACTATGATTTTCATCTCAATAGCAGATGTTTGATGCTCAATTAAAATGTCGACTCCTAATACTCAAAAGAATAGGTCGGGTGCTCATTAAAAGTTTATTATTACTCATTCTCCAGAAGTCGTGATTTTCATCTCAAAAGTGGAGGTTTGATGCTCAATTAAAATGTCATGATGTTCAACTAACAATCATTACAATTTTCATATCAATGTGCACTTTGTAAGTTATGTATGCTCATTTGATACTGATGTTATGCTCATTTTTAAAATGTCATATCAATGCATATTTCAAAAGTATCATATTACATTAGACTCGCATATTGAAATTAATAGGAGTGAATTTTAGATATAAATTAATAAGTTTTTATAGCAGGAAAAAAAAGAATTGGAAGATATGAAGCAAAAATTGTGATACTCATTATTAGCATCATAATACTCAATACAATATGTGAGATGCTCAACAAAACTACATTATTGCTCATTTAGCGGGAGCCATGATTTTTCGCTTAAATTACAAAACTGCCACCGAAAAAAAATAGGATGTTTTAATGGAATGGACTGACTTTCTTAATTGGGCCTGTTTTGTGGGCCTTCCGTTGGATTCATTTAATTATATTCAATCTGGGATATCAAAATTGGGCTGAAGTTTAAAAAAATTAAAAAAAAACCCGGATGTACGGTTCTCACCCGTACACCCGGGTGTACAATATACGTACTCGTGGTTTAGGGGGTGGGAATAAACGAGTAAAACCAAAATGAGTAAAAGGTTTTGGTACATATTTCCAAGTGGCAGGAATTCATAAATTTGTTTTATCCAAGTAAGCATTTCATCTGGAAATTGGAGAATAGCCCCTTTGTCCTTTGTTATTATCACATTACCCCACTAAGCGTACAACTGTACAAGACATGGTTCTTGGAGAAATTTCACATATTTGGTAGCTTTTGAGTTATATTTCATAAATATATTGTTGTTATTTTTTTATCCCGTGCAACCGCAACGGATTAGAACATACTCTTTTGATTATAGAAACCAATAAATCATTATTGACATTTTGTGTGCTCATTACCTATTCATGATTCATCTCACAAAATCAAAAAGCCAACATTAGGCCCTCAAAATAGTCATGGAGTTCTCGAAATGGTATACTAGGGGTCCCGACGTCCAGTATTACTTGAGTGGCAATGGAAAATCCAGTGCATCAATTAGCTTGAGGTTTAGAATAGAGTCAGAAACAATATTGACGTAAAATACGGTGCTCGATTAGTGTTCAACTTCAAAGGCATACAGACTTGTATGGCAAAAGATATACAAACATATATATTAATTAATGTAGCCAAGTTCTTAGAAACTCAAATCCAAGCTGCACCTCGACCCTCATAGTCTAACTCACTTGCTTATCCATTCACTCCAAGTACCAGGTACCTAAATCACAAACAAACCCAACTCCTCAACTAATTTATACCCTCATTTAATAAAGTAAAAAGTTATTAAGATACGGAGTTTCATCCTAAAAGGTGGTTAAACTTGATAGTGGGGCTGTGGGAGTAGTGCCGAATTATATTATATGGAGTATATTAATTTTATTATTTTATCCCGGTTTGCCATAAATACTTCAACAAATATGGCGCTGTACTTTCATGGTATTGCACTTGAATGGAAGAGATTTGATATAAACATGGGGGAATTTGACTTTGCACCCCACTTTTTGGGTGATATTGGACTTTGCACCCTAATTTAAAAAAACTTTTATTTTGCACCTCATTCCACTTAAAAATATTTTGACTCTGCACCCCAATCATAAATTTTTCTTCCCAAAATGTTATAAATTGGGGTGCAAAATCAAAGTCTTTTCAAAATAGGGTGCAAAGTCCAATATTATCCAAAAAACGGGGTGCAAAGTCAAATCCCCCCTATAAACATACCTGATGAAGGGATTTACTAGAAGTTAGGATCAACTAGCTCCCCATTCCTGTACTCTCTGTAAGCAGAGACAGGCCAACTGAAGGCTTTCCAGATGAGTCGGTTGGCCAAAGGAACATCGATGATGATCTCCTTCTGGGTCGGCTTCTTTTCATCTCTTATGGCGATCAGGTAGCTCCGGCCAGCCCACCCGATCCATCCTGCAATGTAGAGGAAAAGTAGCCCTGGGGTGATGAACTCTCCCCAGTGTCTCTGGTCCCCGTTCACTATCAAGTGCGGCAGACCGTCTGATCCACACAATAACCCTTGCTTCCCATAGTTATCAAATCTGTTTCATAATATTAATCCAAATAACCCTAAGGTATTCATATCAGGTTTGTAAAAATCCTAGTCTAGGTGCTTGGGCATTACTTATCAGCTACAATTTTAATTCAGCCCTGTAAAACAGTTCACTTGAGAGTTAATAGACACTGTGTTTAGATCTGCCAATTGGCCGGATCTGGATGAAATTGACAATTCCATCTTTGAATCCATTCACAAAAAATGACTGAGATCTGTACCCAGGACCTGTCAAGGTTAAAATTTTATATCCCTAGTCTGAATTCGTTTATGAACTATGAAATTATGTCTAACTCGTCTTAAAAGAATGTTTATCTCATATTTACATATTAGCTACTTATATGGTATATATTCTAGGTGGGATACTACTAAGCACACCCTCAACGCAAACTACACAACTTGATGGGTTCATAAGTTGGTCTAACCGAACCTAAATGAGTTACTCAAAAGTATGGGGGAATAACAAATGAATCTAAATCTGATCTATGTAAGATACCATATTTTACTATGCATAGCTCAAGAGGGACAGCTTATAACTCATAGTCTCATACTTATATATTTGCACACAAATATTTGATGAGAATATCAAGTAAATATCAGGGAAACGTCCCCACAATTTTCATATCAAATTTAAGCCTGAATTTCTATTCAGATTGAATTGATATAAATGGATGATATTGTGCCAAGATAACAGACCTTTTTGCGCATTAATCACTAGCAAAATCCAAAACATTTTAAGTACTTCATAGTTCATAGTAATTTGCTAGATCAATTACACTTAATGCAATACATCCTTTTCCAAACTAACTTACAGCACTTCATATAAGTGTCAACAAGTCATTTTATAGTCATTCAAAAATATCTACTTCATGATTGTACCCACATATTATTATACTCCATCGTACCACTAAATTTTCTCAATTTTCTATTCCAATTCATTCATCTGATTCTGAATATCCATTTTAGTATGTTTCCAATATAATTAACTTTTAAACTAGGATGGCCTAGTTTCATTATTAGCCTAATATTTCTTTAATTTTCCAGAACTGTGCGTATTTCGGTGAAGAACAAAATTAAATCTTTAGCATGCATAGAGAATATACCAGTATCCCATAACGGAATCGGGTAGTCCAAATCCGCCAATAGAATTACCTGCGGTGAGTTCTCTCAATAGTGGCCTTGAGGGCGAGAGCAGGGGCGCTTTCGGGATCGTATTTGTTCATAGCGGTCTCCAGCTTCTTCACCTGCTGCTTCTCCCGCTTGGCGAACTGCTTCGACTCGTTGCACGGTGTCAGCCCCGAGATGTCTGCGGTGGCCGGAAGCACAGGGGCCGACAAGATGACGGATGAGAGCGCGAGGGCGGCGGAGAACGCCTTCAACGACGATGGCGACGGCTCTGAGGATCCATTACCGGAGGGACTGGAAGAAGAGACTACTATAGTTGAAGACCTTGTCGACCTCGTGATCGACTTCGATGTTGGTGGATTGAAGGGCTTCGAGAGGTTTGTGTGGACTGCGAGTGACATTTTCTGTTCTCAATTTGGTCAGGTGCGGTGGCTTTCGCCGTGAAGGAGATGAGAAATGGGTTTGAGGAAGAAAAAAATCAGTTGTTTGCAGATTTTGGTGGGAAGAGATTGGTGGTGGTGGAGAAAAAAGGATAAGATTTCGAAAGAGTAAGGGAAGGTGAGCTGGAGCTATGTGGTTGGACAGAAGAAGTATGTCATAAATACTCGGTAGCTATGTTGAAAGGATACGATAGGCCGATACGTGAATATGGCCCATACGACAACTTCAAAAGTTAAGATATGACTATATGAGTATGAGTTATATTTATAAATAATAATAATAATAATAATAATATAAGGTATAATTTGAAAATATATATTATTTAGAGGTTCATAAATAAAATAATAATAGTGCAAATAATTAAAAAATTTCAAAAATCAGACTAAAAAACTAAAATATTAATATTTCAATCTAACTTTAAATAATATTTTTAATTTTCTATTTGTATTTACATTTAAATCTTTTAACAAGATTGGTTTCAATTAAAACTCATCAAACCACAAATTGACAAATTAAAGTATTTCAATATTTTTCATACTCTCGAAATCATCTTTACTATGTTCCAGATCTTGTGGTCGCTTGGGCAGCTACTAAATTTTCGTCATATCGTGTTTGAAATCAGGGTTATAAGGTTAGATACACATATCGCTTCACAGATACGGGTATAGGAAGTATCTGTATTTTTGAAAAAAAAGTCCAAGACTTTTATTAAATTACGAATACGGACCCAATACGTAGAGGACGCGTATCAGTAAGTATTTGTTAGGTATGTTTACAAAACACTCAAAAAAAGTGATTTTCAACTTTTGGTTAAAAAAAATGAAAAAGTGTTTTAAGTGACAATTTTTATTTAAATTAAACACTTAAAAGCTACGGAGTATAAGCTAGAATCTGTTTTTTACTTTTTTTATTCTATAAAAAGCACATATTTTATCAAACACCACAAACTTTTACTTATCAAAATCATTTATTTTATCAAATATCACCAACTTTTACTATTAAGCATTTTTTCCAAAATCACTTAAAAAGTGATTTTTTAAAAGCAAAAGCTATTGCAAGAAGCCAAGAATAGCTATTTCGGTATTTTGTTAGTAAAATAAAGCAAAATTATTTCAAGAATAGCTACCATAATATTCTTCAACAAAAATAATGATTACAGCCTTACTTTTATCTATTATATAATTCATGAAATTAAAAGTTACGTATTTGATAAAAAAAAATTACCAACTGTCAAACTTGAATGCCTAACATTGAATTTGATTTCAATCCTAACATGGAGTATGTTAGAATCATTTACAAGAAAAACATATTTAAACCAATGAAGGTAATATAATCTTCATAAAAAATTGAAATTGACTGAATCTTTTAAATCGACAAAAGATTTACTTTTGGTTAAAACTTTGCCAAATTTGACCGGCACGGAGAATAATATAAAGTAAAAATTGTGTGGTTAATATTTGTGTAGAGGAGAGAAATAAGAGGAACCACAAAATAATTGATTAAAAGGAAAAATGACAAAATTTTTTGGAACGTCCCACAAAGGACGGATGACAAAGTTTTAAAACACGGAGGGAGTGATAGAGTTATAAAGAATATATTTAAAATATATTATTTTAATAAAATAAATAATTTTTTTATGAAAAATTGCTAAACTAGTGTTATCCGTGAAATCTAGGCAAATTAATTAATCAGAAACATAATTTCAGCCTTAGATATTTTTATTATTACACAATTTAACACATGAAATAAAAAACTACTCCCTCCGTTCCCAAAAATACTTCTCACTTTCCTTTTTGGGCGTTCCCAAAAATTCTTCCCAATTTCCCTTTTTGGACAATTTGTATGGCTCACATTCATTTTACCTTTTTCTCACACAACTACAACCACACATTTCCACTTTATTCCACTTTCTTAATAGGCGTGCCAAGTTAAACCGGGAAGAATTTTGAGGAACTGAGATAGTATGTATTTAATAAAAAGGTGAGTGATAAACCAAAAATAATTTACCAAACGCTCTCTTAATTATAAAATCTCAGCCTGTCATATCTATCTCAATATCTCTTGACCATACCCGAAATAACATTAAAAAAATTAAATAATAAATTTATGTATTTTACATCGGAATGTTTGACTTCTCAAATCATGATTATTCATAAAAAAGTTAAATTGAAAAATATTAATGTATAATAATAAAAGTAATATTTTAATTTTAAAAATTTTGCGGAGTGAATACATTGACGGAACTGGATTGCAGTGAAAATTGGATTGATTGAGTGAATACGTCTAAAAAGATGAGAAATTTGATTTATTGACGGAGCTGGATTGCGGTTAGCTTGTGTTTCCAAAGTGTGGTATCTTCCTCCTATACAACAAGCTGTCTGCTCAGTCCAAAGATATTATACGGAGTACTACTTAGAATGACAGAGCAGGGCTTACGGAGTTTAAAGCTTACGTGCAATCATCGCCTTCGTCGAAAATCAGCCATCGTGCGCAGGTGGCGCCAGAGGTGGAGACAGGGGGTTGCTGGCGGTGGCCGTGGCCCCTGCAAGAATTTTTTTTTGATGTATAAATATAGTAAAAAATATTTATAAGTAGTAAAAAATATAGTGAAAATTTAAGTATTGGCCCCGGCTATATATATTCCTTAAGCCCGGCCCCTGTAACTTGACATTCCTGGCTCCGCCACTGGGTGGCGCCCTCCACTGGCAAGTGGCAACCGAAGGTTGATCTGCTCAAGTTGCGTTGAAATTGATTCAATTTCCTCCTTCCTCGTGAATTCAGTCCGGCAGCAGTACTCCGGCGAACTTCCTTTTCCTCCGGTTGATGCAACAGCTGTTTGGTCTCGTATCAGCACCTCCGGCGAGTTTCGTTTTAGAATTCTTGAAATTTTCGTTTAAATTTTTTGAAGAAATATTCATTTTTATGCAATTTTAGTTTTCCTCTACATATTTTACACAACCGACAAGTTCTCTCTTATCTTGGGACATACTAATGGGAAGAAGAAAGAAACAAAGAGACAATATTAAGGAGGTCTAAGATGAAGATGAAATCTAATCGTACATGTTTTGCTTTCTACAAGGTTATTATGGACCTTTTAATTATAAGACATGGTTTAAGTCGAATGAAGTAATAAACGCATATATAGCAAACACTTCTTATTAAGCAACGGCTTATTAAGACAATGTTTAATAAGCCATGTTTATTAAGCATCATGTATAGCAGACCATATATTCCGATCTTATCCTTCTTCGACTGTACGACGTGTATATTTTCTCAGTTACTTTGCATAATGTTTTTAGATAGTGAAATTATGTGGTGATGAGATTTTTTAAGGAAAAGAACTGCTTAGGAGTTTTTTTCCGCATTAATGCTAATTAATTAAGTATTTATGAAAATAGGGTCGGGTTATAAGTATTTACGGATATACTGCTGGCCTTAACCCTGGTCGAGAAAACTCGCCAAACCGTTTGGCGACTTATAAGTCGCCCAACTGTATGGCGACTTATAAGTCGCCCAACGGTTTGACGACTTACCCATAAATTAAAAAAACCAGGTTAAGCTAAAAAAAAAGGAGAGGCAAAATTGTCTTTTGAAACCCGTTGAATTTTACGACTGCCATATGAAGAAAACATGAGCAGGAAACTCTTTGATAACATACATCTGCCAGAAAGTATCTTCACAGGTATAACATTGCCACTTTGGTCTAGGCCCCATTTTGAGATGTTAATCAAGCAGTGTTGAAAACAAAAACTATTTACTTAAGTTGAAATGTGTGAAATAACAATAAATCAAGATGAGTTCAGTACAAAAGGAGTAGGATCTAAGGTTCTTTTTATATATTGAATTATTGAGAACCAGATGTATGTGCATGCCTACTCTTGTCAAATAATTCCATAAATGGCACTATATAGGGAAACAAGAAACCAGATGAAGATCTACACAATTTTTGTTAATGATTGAAAACAGTGATTGAGAAAAATAGTCTTAACCTTGATTTTTTTTTTAAATCTCAATGTTGACTCTTGGAAGCTTTGATTGTAGTGTTGACCTTTGGTGTTGGAGTTTTGAACTATGAAGTTTGAAGTGGCTCAAATTTGCTCTTGAAAAAGAAAGATGGAAAAGTGTACACTTTTAAGCAAAGGTGGAAAGTGAGCTTCTTTAACTTTCCCACATCTAAACTCCTTGAGAAGTTTGAAGCCTATAAATATGAACCACTCCTCTCTTAGAATTAAAAGGTGAAGGAGAATAGGGGAGCTCTCGCGCACACAAGAATTCCGACTTTCAGTTCAGAATCGAAAATTCACACCCCCCTGCGCGGGCGACCTGCGGACACGATAGTCGTAAAATTCAACGGGTTTCAAAAGACAATTTTGCCCCTCTTTTTTTTTTTAGTTTAACCCGGTATTTTAATTTATGGGTAAGTCGCCAAACCGTTGGGCGACTTATAAGTCGCCATCCGGTTGGGCGACTTATAAGTCGCCAAACGGTTTGGCGACTTTCCCCGACCAGGGTTAAGACCAGCATTATATCCGTAAATACTTTTAACCCGACCCTATTTTCGTAAATACTTAATTAATTAGCATTAATACGGAAAAAAACTCGCTTTTTAGATAGTAAACGTATATTGTGATGTATTTAGAAATAATAATTTCGAAAATTTTTATGGGAAATTTATAGTCCCGTAAATCTAATAAAAATAGCTCACAGCTTCACACAATTTCTTTTTCACGCATTGTTCTCAAATCTTCATCTCATTTAGTCATAATTCATAAAAGGGCTAAACACACTTCAGTCTTCAGCTATAGGGTAATCAGGCTGAAACATCAAAAGTCTTCCACACTCACGGCCTCAGGTCAATTTCAAACCAAATCTGGCTTCTTTGCTTATTAAAGACCATAAGTCCATAACCATCTTAGCCTGGTCTCGTGTCCCTGACCAGAAAACTGTTGGTCTCCGACAAAGATTCGCGCCGGTTTTAACCAGGATCCATATTTTTACTATGTAAATAAAATAAAATGAAAGGAACATAAGAGAAATGTAGCAAATTTTGGAAACATGAATTAGTCCAACCTGGCAGTCTGGCCTCTAATGGAAATTGAAAAGCCACCCATATCACTCACGCATGCCCGAAAAGAAAATAGGAGTACCAATGCCAAACAAATAGAAATTTCAGAAACCACAAATGGCCATAAATCCAAGAACCAGCACCAAACTCCAATAGTATATGGCTAATTAGCATCAGGGGTCTCGACTTCGGGGTTCTCCTGTTCAGCCTCCTGCACTTCCTTTTCCGTCTTCCTTCCTTTCTTCGACTTGTAGTACACACTCATGAAGGTGCCTATGGCTTTATACTTGCGCCTGCAGTGCTCATACAGCCCAGCATCAAACATCCTCCAGAAGCTCTTCTCCGACAACTCAGACACCGCATATTGTGGTTGGAACCCGTGGTTTTCAATCAACCAATCCTCCAAATGACGCACTGCCAATGAACCGTCAAATACTTCACCCCTAAGGACAGGCCCAGGTGCATAGTACACTCCAATATCTGTGTACATTTGAGCGTACTCCGTGTCGCCCTGCCTTTTGTGCAGCTCAAATCCCGGTTCCGGATATATCATGGTTTTCAAGGGAAGCCTGTAAAGTCTGTGTGGGCAAAGCCAGATGGGGTATACCTCCATCTCGCGGTGAACCCACTCGAGAGCATCTCCAACCTTGTAGAGAGGAACCAGCAGGTCCTGAATGACATGATTGTCATGGTAATAGTTCCTAATGGCCTCACCTTGAGTAGCCTTAAGTAGAGACACTTTAG